TGTCTATATAGTGTAACAACCAAGAGTTAGTTACTCTGGCGCACAACTCAGACAAGCCAAAAGATAATGAAGAGGGAGTGTTTACCCTTTAGGTTTCAACAAGTTAGTTGTGAGGATACAACAGGAGGACTTGCTGAGGAGTCTCCTGGATCTATTGAGGTATATATACTAATACAGAGTGTTTGTACTTATGTACTGTACAGTTGATAAAAGCAGTGGCTGATGATGTCAGAGGGTGCAGCCCGTGTGACCAGCTCCACTGTGTGAGAGACTTGTAGCTAAATAAGAATAAAGGCAGCGCAGCGCGAGAAAGAGGAGTTTGAACAGAAGGGAAAGTGCCGCATGGCACAATGTGTGAAAACTACAGAAAAAGGTTAAAGAGGAGAATGAAAATTAAAGGTCCGAAAATTGTGTATCGTAACAATAACTTCCAAATCCGATGGTGTCTTATGCCAGGAGGCTCTCTAAGGCCATAGCGCTTAAATTATAGATTCATGGATATGCTTGAACAATGTGTTTCTGAAATGCTGTATTATATAATGACAATGTATATAATGTACTATTAAGAACAAAGCTTGAAGGAAGTGTCTAGCCACTTGCTGAGAGCAATCAGGGACTGGAAACTAGAGTCCAATGTGAGTAACTATATTATTAGAGAGTATGACAGGTATACAGTACCTAGAGTCCAATGTGAGTAACTAGAGAATAGGAAGCATTGGACTCTGCAGTACTGTCCGATGTTTTGTAAACAAAGGTAAACAAAGGAGCCACAAAGGCGGAATAATAGAGAACACAATCAATACTGAATGGTAGAGCAATAGATAAAGAAAGAAATGAAAATATAGAGGTAGCACAACTAGGTGCAGAATCACCAAAACTAACATGTACTGACCAGTAATCATTTATTAGAGAACCCACATATATTTTTGTTGTCTACAGCAATGCCATAAGTCCTCAGACCCCTGAGCCATCTATTCCCTCTGATATTCCTTCAAGCTGGAAATTGCTGTTTACAGAACTTGCAGCACAGTGTGTGCTATTTCACTTCCAGCAAGCATTGATTCACATGCATACTGAGGGGCCCAACCTCCTCCAGCCAGAGCTGGGATCCCAGTGGGATTGGAATGCAAAACTCCCAGGAACATTTGTTAGCAAATGTGAGAGAGCAGCCAGGGTGTTAGTGATTGCATACCTCACAAGGAGTAAGTCATTTGTATTGCATGAAAGATGTTACTGATGAATACCCAGGTAGTGAATATCCAATGGGATGTGACATTGTATGCAGAGCAGGTGGTGACAAAACCGGATAAACCCGGTCTCTGCTAAAGCAGCCATTGTACTCCTAGTGGTCATTGTACTGTAGCGAGTATGACCTCCAACTATAAGTAGTAGGGGGTTTAGTATAGGAATACCTCGGTTGTTTCTATAGCCTCTCAGGCAGTGGCTGAGGTATGTTACATTGCATTTATTAGAGATCACCTTAAACTAACATCTATTGTAGTTTCACTTAGGGAAATAATAAAGTTGTTTCTATAGCCTCTTGGGCAGCGGCTGAGTTTCAATTAGACTTATTAGGTGGGCCCTTGTAATAATGGCCAGAACAACAAGCTCAAACAGAGTATATCTGAGGAATATTGACCTGCAAAAGATATTGGCATCATCAAATATATTTACATGGTCAAGCAAAATACTTATATTAAGCTAATATATTTAGCAAAGCATGTGTGATAGTCTACAGCATCTCAAGCAAAATATGGAAAGCAAATACTCCAAGAAGCCCTCAAAGAGCCGGTGTCAATCTATCTTCCAAATATTACAAAAATCCCACAAAATGTCAGCTATTCCTTGTGGGTTGATAGATTTATCCCTGGCGTGGTTGCAACTTGGTCATGAAGTTTGTTTTATTGAGTTATAATCTATACATTACGATTAATAAAAGTTCCACCACAGAAAACTGGAGAGGCTCCACAAGCTTCCCGGTCCTTGCACAAATCTACAGCCCCGGGCACCGGTGAACTGTGGTTGCAATCCTTTGTGGAGACCAGGGCCCTCATGAGTGCAATCTTGTGTGTAGCTCACCCTACACTTTATGAGTTGGCCCGGGAGGTGCTGGTACAAGTTGAGGACCATATGGATGAATGACAGTACTAAAGACATGGAGCTCAGTCTTCAATGCACTTTCTATCATCAGTAACCGGGAGATACCAGTACACCGAGATTGTCTCTCCAAAGCAGAGTGATATGATATATTGGCAAGCATAAGAGACTACAATGAAGCCATTCTGGAGCTCACCGGGGCAGGTTTTCACTTCAAGTTTGATAGTGGGAATATTGCCGCATTTAGTGGATGTTACAATAACACATTTTCGGACCTTTAATTTTTATTCTCCTCTTTAACCTTTTACTGTAGTTTTCACACTCCGTGCCATGCGGCACTTTCCCTTTTGTTCAAACTCCACTTTCTTGTGCTACACTGCCTTTCTTTCTATTTTAGATACAAGTCTCTCACGTAGTGGAGCTAGTCACACGGGCTACACCCTCTGACATCATCAGCTACTGCCTTCATCAACTGTATAGTACATATGTACAAACAAACCTGTAGTAGTATATAAACCCCAATAGATCAAGGAGACTCCTCAGTGAGTCCTCCTGTTGTATCCTCACAACTAACTTGTTGAAGCCTAAAAGGTAACCACTCCCTCATCATTTATCTCTATAGTTGGTTCTAGTTGTGCACCAGAGTAACAAACTCTTGGTTGTTACAGTGGAGAGTTGCTGAATCATGGGGTTTTGTCCTGCAGTGGTGAGAGAATATGTTTTGCATATTACATGAGGGAGTATATACATACAATATGTGGGGTGGAGACCCCGGGATGATCAGTACCTTCACATGATTATGTTATGCAGTTATAGATGTGGAATAGCAGCTAAACTGTCTTGATCTGGGTACATAACTGCTGCAAGTTTGTAGCTATTTGTAGTAGCTTGCTCAATTAAAAGGGCAAAACACGGGCACCCTGCAGTTGGATACTGGGAGCGAGTAGAAGCCTGGGAATCTTATATTACTACAAAGCCTGGGCAGTAATGAATTGTTACAAAGTCTAGGAACATTGATTTAGTACAAAGCCCGGGAACTCTAGATTACTTCAGCGCCTGGAAATACTGGACTACTATTACATAGTATAATGGACCCCAGGTTTTTATTAAATTGTGATCCACTATTCCAGTTTTCTCAAACCACTATGCCTAGCCTCTGGAATAAATCCTCTGCCTGTTCTGAGAACTGGTTCCACATCCTAATTTGCCTCTCTGCATATGCTACATGACCGGGTTTAGCCTCCATTTCATTGGCATCTTGAAAACCCTTCTAATGCTTAGCTTGATGTTGAAAATACTGAACTGACCGCTTCACCTTGAGGCACACCAGAATGTCTTCTTCTATCCACCTATTGTACATGGCCTTTGCTCTTAGCCAGTGAACCTGGTAAGCTGTATTTTATGATTAAATATTAGCTATTTGACACTGTGAAACTGTGACTGGGCTGGAGCACATACATTCAAATATACAGGTCTGTTGGGAGGTGTCACCCTTCAAATCCATGCTCCAAAACCATGGCAATGCAGTGTTGTGGAGTCCAGTTGCATTGGGATTCATAAGCTGAGTACTTATTCTGAGGTAGTCTGGTTTGAGCTCTTGATATTTTTTAAATATTTCTGCCCAGCACCCCAGAGATATGGTTACATGCTGGGCTCTCTTATATATGGCTGAGTGGACTTTGATGTTGGCTTCCATGTGGGTAACCTCTGCCCAAGCCTTCAACTTTTTTTCTGAGAGAGAGCCCCAGGCCGCTCTCACCTTCATCCTGAACAAAAAAAACTTTTGACCCAGTAGGATACATATCTGATGCAAGGTGTAGTTGGCCTGACCTTCCCGGAGTGTAAGCTCCTGGCTTACTAGATGGTGTAGGCCTTCAATTTTGCAAGTGCCTTTTCCTAAGTTAGAGGGTAACACCAATTTTCTCCTCTCAATAGGCTCATTACCGCCATCAAAGGAACCCGAGAGGTCAAACAGATTTATGTCTTTTGCATTGTTGTCTTCGTTGGAGTTTGGCTACCCGGGGACCTCCTCAAGAAACTCAGCAACATCAATATTGCCTAGATACCTTTCAACCTTGAGGTTGAAAGCATCTATGTGGGAGAGCAGGCGTTATTGCCTTTCCTCTAACTCCAGTTTTTCTGTGGTTGTGGCCTTTTTGTTAATTTGTTTTGCATACATTTGCAGCTGTATCCTGTTAGGTAGAGTTAATCAGTATTTAAAAGGCATATATTCCCGGGATCCCAGGGCCAAGGGACTTACTGAGTCTCTTCCAACTTCAGACCCACTGATAACTAAGCAGCAGTTTCTTAAACCACTCCATTTCTTGTTTCCTGTTGCAATAAATGCAGCTGAATTTTTGCTTTGCTGGGTAATTTTGCCAAAGAGACTTCATATATATTCATGGTGTCTTCTTTATGCAGCTGGTTTTGCTGTGCCTTTTTTTCCTGGGCAATCCGGGCCTCTGTGTCCTTGGAGTCTGCAGTGGAATTGATGTTTTTGAATGCAATCTTGCTTGATGGCAAGCCTTGTTGAACCTTTTTGAACTTCTTGCAAAGTGCTGGGACTAAGTATGCACTTAGTCATAATTATGGGTGAGTTATTGAAGCCCAGGACCTACCCATTTGTATAAGGTTTTTCCAATTGGAATCACTCATATGATTGTCTAATTTTTTTTGCCTATGGAATTTGCTCATAGCCCAGGTGCTTCAAGATACTTCATTGAGGGGAGCCCAAAGTCTTTCTAATATCTCACCATCAACCTGCCTGGCCTTGGGGATGAATTTAGGGGCGTATCTTGGGAAGCAGATGTCTTGATGTCCATGCACATGAAATAATCTAATGCCCTTGTATATGGATACACCACTGGAGACCTGAAGGTAAGGACCTTCAAGAACCCTCTTCAAGAAGTGTTTACTGTATTGGCACATTATATTGTAGAGGACTATGACTGAGTTAATCCCAGCCAATAAAGACAAGGCCTGACACAGGGAATAGTCCATGTTCACTTGGCTATGAAGAGTGAGCAATTGTCACAATCACAGATTTGTGGGTAACTCACTGTTCACCTTTCTGAAAATCCACTATGGCACCCAAGCAAAATACTCCATGCTGGGCACAGGCAGTAGCACCAATCCCGGTAGCAATGAGGTGCTGCCAGTCCTTGTTTGCCAGGTTTACAGCTCTGTGGTCATTACAAGTAGACTCCACCTTATTTTCTTTGGCAATTTTGAGGTGCTGCATGTATGGTTGGTTTGCTGTCAAGAATGCTGTGCCATTGGCTAATGGGACATCATCATGGGGGTTTTTTGACTTCATGTGCTACACGTTCAAGTTTCTGTCCATGATAAAAATCCTCAAGTGATACTGCCTGAGGGGGTTCTGCTTCCAATTAAGTGAGACATTGATACCCAGCTAAGGGCAAGTCGGGCAAACAATGCTAGAGACCTCAGCCCAACTTGCTGGGTACAACCCATTGGACAAGAGCTGAACGTCCAAGCAAGCAGCGTTGGGACAGCTACACCATTTAACAGGCAAGTGATGCACACTGGATCTGTCTACCAGAGTATTGCATGTCATGCTGCAGGGATGCTCACCATTTCATAGAGTGGCGCAATGGGTGGGCACACATTTTGAACCTTCTTGGCTTTATAGAGCTGGCTCAGTAATTTATCTGGGCCATGCCGGGTACCAAATGCGCTGGAATGTGATGACAACCACAGTCTAGCAGAGGACAACTCGCCGGAGGGTGATTCCTGGGGGGACAGTACCTGGGGCAATTTTCCAGGTGCCCCATCAGACGATGAGGAAGGAGAAGTATGGGAAGACAAAGAAGTAATCACAATGGGTGACATGCCCAAAAGGACTGGCTCCACCAACATCAATGGCAACACAATGATGCTTCTGGTTTCACCAAACATTCTGTGCATTGCCAAGTTCCTTCTCTCACTAAACAAAGGCTGCAAGTCTTTCCCAGGGACCACCCCTCTTCCTGCATGAGGACTCGCAGATACTCTGAACAATAATCCAGCCATTATCTCATGTAAGCATTTTGTGACTAACAATGGTGGGTGTGCTTACTTAATGAACTTACCTTCCTTGGAGGTATAAGCAATGGCTCAAGGACAGAATGTTCAATGCCTTGGATGGGGAACATATCATGTTTATGAGGAGTTTGACGGGGTATTAACAAAGTTAATTGGGATATGTGATCTTTCACACTTATTTGTTTTGTACGCACACCTCTGCTTGTTTTGTACGCACACCTCTGCTTGTTTTGTACGCACACCTCTGCTTGTTTTGTACGCACACCTCTGCTTGTTTTGTACGCACACCTCTGCTTGTTTTGTACGCACACCTCTGCTTGTTTTGAACTCCTTCCAATCTACTCTTTGTAAAACTGGATCCAAATATTGGGAGGAGCTGCGGCCCATGCTAAATAATTCTGCGGAGAATAGATGATGTTGTTAAACCAGACTCCAGTCTGAAGATGCTTATACAAGATATTTTTGACAGAAGGCAGCAATCAATATAGAGCCTATGCTTCTAATTTACATTAGCATCTATGACACCTAGGCCTCACAAGGCTAATTAACTCAATGGACCTAGAACTAAATTTCCATATATAGAAGCAATATATCAGGGAAGGCATTAGCTGGGAGACACCTGTCACATTCTGGGCCTTAGCCAAAGGCTTGGTATAGAGCCTGAGTTAAGGCGATGATATTATTGCTCAGATCTGACAGAAGAGCTGAACATTTGCTTGGAATGGATGAATGTGGTATTCAATTGACTGAAAATTTGCACTCAAACGGAAAAAAGAAAGATAGTGCTCATCTTCAAACACGCATCTCACTTTTTAACTTGTACCACATTTAATCATGCCTGCAGTACAGTTTAATAACACCCAAATTGAAATACTCAATATACACTTGGAAGAGTTTTGGGGTGCAAAATATTTACAATGGGGACGTGCACTTGATGATACCCGGAATAAAGCCAGGGAAAATTCACTTCAGGCGGCCAAAATTTTAGGGCTCTTAGCTTGATCATAATCTCCAAACCTATGGGGCTAGTAGCTCCCTGGAGCATGGTATACCATGGTACACTTTCAAGTCAGGTGGGATATCCCAGAACATAGTCCGGGATATCCCAGAGCATATGGGATGTCCCAAAAATGTTGACTGGGATAACCCATGAGTGTTGGGATATCCCAGATAGATGAATAAGATGATTATGTATATATACACTCAATATATTGTAGAGCATATGGGCTTGTCAACAACATGTTATGATGTTGCTTACAATGTTTGTATGTGGTTTTCTCACAAATTAACTATTGGTGTTTTGGCCTACAAGTAACCTATGAAGTTTGCATATGAATAATACAGCAAATTTTGCAACTTTTGATATGTTATAGAGCCTATAGGGTTGTCAACAAAATATTATAACATTGCTTATAAAGTTTGTAAGTGGTTTTCTCAGAAATCAACAATTAGTGTTTTGGCCTACAAATGATCTATAGAGTTTGTGTATGAGAAATGTAGTAAGTTTTGCAAGTTTTGCTATGTTGTAGAATATATAGGGTTGTCAACAAAATGTTATAACATTGCTTACAAAAGGTAGCACACTCATTTGTACATGCCAGAATCAATGCTGATCTATGTGGTGTGATAGTGAGTTTTCTGAGATTGTGTTCTTGCCAAGACCTTATGTTCTGAGAAGTGTTGGTTGTAGGAACATGCATGTCTGCTGAGCAGTCAAAGGGCGGGGACCTATATTATGACTTAGGTGTAAAAAAAAACACTGCACCTTTCAACTGGGTGTTCAGTTATGAGTTATGTTGGCCTTAAAATGAACACTCAAGATGTTTCGTCATGGGGTTACAACGCTGAATAAACAGCCATATATAAGAAGTCATGGCAGATAATCAATTTGAAAACTTTACTCAATATCAAATTTTCTTAATTAGTGGATGGAGACTTGATGGATCTGAATACTTTCTATTCAGCACACAAATCACCATACCAGGGTGGAAGTTCAGTGTCACATGTCACACCCCTCTGAACACCTGGTTGAAACAGTACAGTAGAGTATATGCCCAAAGTATAAAGAGTTTTGGTAAATAATATACTGTATTATTTTGACATTAGATATGTGGGGTTTTAAGTGTGATATATTATAATGATAGGTTTGTGTATTTATCAGTGGTTGTGATGCATGATAAACCTAGGTCAAAATAGTACAGTATACACCTACTGTAATTCTCTCTTATTATTGTATTCCTTGGGTGCCTTGAAGATCATGCAAGGAAACCAATATTTCCAAGGTATATTGTAATATGTTGATGTTAAGTTTATTGTATTGTCACGCAATATTTTCACTCACCTGCATATGTTATTATACATAAAGCATTGTTTAGACTAAAAATGCATCATAGAGGTAGAAGTAACTTTGTGGAGGAAAACATTGCAACCTGTATAGTAAAAAAGCTGGTGTTACAATTCTTGAGATGATATACTAGGTGTTTTTTATGGTGTTTGTAGCTGTTAGTAATCATGTCTTGCATAGGCACACTGCTTCAAGGCTTTGAGGCTAAGCTATGAATGTAGAGTACTGCTGGTTCCTATGGGGTTTTGATGTTCCTCTTGTCCTTCATAGTATGCCAGTGGGATTCCTGAAGCTTCTACTGAGTTGTTCTAGAGTCTGATTGGGATTCCCTGTGTTATTGTTGGGATGACCCACAGCGCTGTCAGGATAACCCATGGTACTGTTGGGATAACCCGTAGTACTGTTGGGACATCCCGTGGCATTGCTGGGATAACCCATAGGTACTGTCAAAACATCCCAGTAATCCAGTAATCACAGTGTTATCATTATATCACACAACATTTGTATAGTTTCAGTCAATTATATTCTCCAATCTAATGAATGACTCATCTTCATAAACTACAGTGCACGGGGACTTTTCACATCTAAGAATTTATATATTATTATTTGTAGTTATATGTCCACCCACACAAAAATATATTTGACTTATAAAGTTGGTCATTCATTTTTCTTTCAGGATGTAACACACAAGAAGTATATTTGTCACAATATTACTGTCAGCCTATCTTAATGGTTCTCAACTTCTCAAAAAGGACCTCTGGTTAAGGTTTTTTGTATATTCTATTACACTTTGCAATCACAGTTATTTTCAGATCCTTGGCTGCCATATAGTGAAACCTAGCTATGATTTTTTCACAAGCTATTCTCTATTTCTATTTTAGTTAAAAATCAATATGTACTATTATCAACTCTGATTAAAAACATCCTAGGGCCAATTTTCCAATATATATATATATATTACTTTAAAATAATGCCATATATTATATATTCCACAATTTATCTGTTTCAATATTCTGGATTTTTGTAGTTGCTACTAGGCATTGTTTGACATCTGGGTGTCAATCAATATACTGTATCATTTTGACCTTAAATTTACTATGTTTTGAGTATGATATAATATATTGTTAGGTTTATATGCTCACTGGTTGCTGAGATGTGTGCCAAACCTAGAATTTAGGTTTATTGACTCAGCTGGGATACACAGTGAGGCAGAACCTCAAGTAAATATTTTACATCATTTAGTTCATCACCCAAATTAGGTGGTGTGACTGTTGCAGAAATTGGGTTTGGTTTATTATGGTGGCAGCACTGTAACAAACCTAAGGTTGAAACAGTATTGTAACTCTGTAATAAGTGTTTTTCTTATTACCAGCCATTTTGCTAAAATTCCCAAACAAAATTAACCCCAAAGGCTAAACCATCTCATAGCCCTCTTTAAATATTTGAAGCCAGTATTGATTTGGTTGTACCAGAAAATAAGTAAGCCTAATTCTTTATTTTATATATAGTAAAACTTATGAAGGTGGTACTATAAAAGTAATCTAAGAAATTTTTATCATCTAATTGTTAGCCTAGTCCCAAGCAAGATATTATAAGAAGGTATAGGATAACCTACTCAAAACATATGCTCTACAATATATTGAGATTTCCACTTTTAGCATTGTATATATGCATAATCATCTTATTCATCCATCTGGGATATCCCAGCACTCACAGGTTATCCTGGCACTCACAGGTTATCCCAATCATCATTGCTGGGATATCCCAGCACTCATGGGTTAGCCCAGCATTCATGGGACATCCCACCTGACTTGAAAGTGTACCACGGTATACCATGCTCCAGGGAGCTACTAGCCCCATAGGTTTGGAGATTATGATCAAGCTAAGAGTCCTAAAACTTTGGCCGCCTGAAGTGGGAAAATTTTGGAGGACATATACTAACCAACATGAAGGATTTAACAAACATGAAAGAGGTATGATCACACTTAATTGTCCAAGTACATCATCATGTTTACAATTAATATTGCAGTGGGTCAGGAGTTGGTTGTACAACCATAGTGGTAACAAAAAGCCCAGGCACAAGGTTGCCAGGCATGGAAAGTATTTAAGTCTGAACCAAGTGCTCAACATAGTGAAGAAGAAGGAGGTGGAGAAGAGGATGTGGGACCTTTACAGAGTCAAGCCAGGGCAGTCAGATTATATTGGTAAACTGCAGAGTGTCCTGAAGGCAATGTTGACTGAACTCAGCGAGGAGGAGCTAGCTGAACTAAAAGTGAAGTGTGAGGAGTGGTATATTGATGGGCCATTAGAGAAAGTGAGACAAAAGTGAGTATGATGTCCTTTACTCACCCGGGACAAATAGTAACTCAAGATACCCAGAGCTGCTGAAATCAAGGGTAGAAAAGTAGTCAAGGACTTTCAGATGTGCTCACTGCCCATAGAGATACAAATGAAACCATTTGCATGTCCTTGTAAGTAGTCTATGGACCCCAGGTCTCAAACTGGGTGTCTGGTTACTGAAACAGAGTGCTTTAATTGCAACCATGAGCAAAATAACAAAGCCAGGTTTGAGCTTTTTAGCAAGGTACAACCCAACTGGCAAAACATAAAGATATGAGAGACTTGGGGCAAGTATGCACAAAGACATTTTGGTAAGTTTCCAGCTTAATTAATAAGCATCACAGAATACTGAACTGTATATAGCTGATATAGATGGGTCTATGCTAAAGGAGAGCCTACCAAGCAAGCAGAAAGAAAAGATCGAGCTTCCACTCAACAATAATGAATATCCCATTCTTGTAGATGACAAATAAACCATTACAGCTGCCAGTACAGCAGACTTATTTATAGATTTTGTATGGTTCATCTACGGGTTACCAATAACAGTTATCTCCAATAGGGGACCTTAATTCACTAGCAAATTCACAAAAGAATTATGCCGGATGCTGGGCATTAAACCTAAATTATTAATGGTATTCCATCTGCAGACTGATGGAAAAACGGAGAAACTCAACCAGGAGTTGAAATAGTATCTCTGGATATTTATTAATGACAGGCAGACAGATTGGGCCAAGTGGCTAAAGATAGCCCAGTTCTCATATAATATCACACAGTCATTGGCTACAGGGAAAGCACCATTTGAGGTTACAAGGTCATACCTCCCCAGAATGACTGTAGAACCTGGAAAAAGCGAGAATGAGGCTGCTAAGAACATAGCCAAAGGCATGAAGTCCGTTTCAGACAAAACACGCAAGGCATTATTTAAAACTGCAGAGCAGATGAAAGACAGGGCAGAGTGTAGACACTCTAAGGCCCCTGGTTACAAGGTTGGCAACCTGGTCTGGTTAGATACCGACCACTCAAAATTAAAAGGTTGGCAGTCCAGAAAACCGACCAAAAAGTGGAGCAGTCCTTACTGGATGAAGGAAGTCAAACTCAATGCGGTGGAGCTGGAACTCCCAAAACAAATGAGGGTAGTGCCCACAGTCAATATTAGCTGTGTGAAACCCTACAGAGGGCCGCTGCCGGGACAGCACATAGACTGGCCCGGACCAGTTGTAGTCACCCAGGAAGGTGAAGAAGAGTTCAAAGTTGAACAAGTGGTGGATGCATGCTTGAAGCGTGGAAAATTAGAGTTCCTAGTCCTATGGAAGGGCTGTGGAGACAAGGACAGAACATGGGAACCAGAAACCCATCTGGACAATTCCCGAGATGCTGTTTGAGACTTTTATTCTGAGAATCCCTTGGCTCCTAGAAAACTTAGAGGCATGGATTCAACAACCTTTTTAATTCCCTTTTTCAATCTATGCCCAAAAATTCAACTACTACCTCCGGTACTTGGTCTCACCTAGAAGTCGAACCTTAAAGGGGAACTTTAACTTTCACTCTCCACTTCAACTTTCTTTCTTTATTTTCACACATTGTCATTGTGCCATGCAGCACTTTCCATTTTGTTCAAACTCCACTTTCTTGTGCTGTGCTGCTTTCCTTTATTTTTAGATACAAGTCTCTCATGCAGTAGAGCTGGTCACATGGGCTGTGCCCCATGATATCATCAGCCACTGCCTTCATCAACTGTACAGTACACATGTACAAACAAACTGTAGTAGTATAAATACCCATTATATCCAGGAGACTCCTGTAACAACCAAGAGTTTCATCAGGAAAAATGGGGGTAGCTATATAGCACTATAAGTACTCATAAAGCTGTTATAGTGGTCAAACCTGCTATAGAACCTCTGCCATCTATAGAGCCTCATATAGCTCTATAAATGCTCTTATAGATGTTGGAAATTGTTGTGTGGCTGATTGAAAAAAATTAACACAGACAGAATTTGAACTCTCAATCTGCTAGTCAGCTCTTGGGTGACTAAGCAACCTACAGCCACACATCACATTTATCCACTACACCATGAGAGCTTATAAAATGTATTATACAGGTGTTATATATTGTGACCTTTTACGGACTTAGATTATTTTTTTACTCATTGTCACTACTTATACTTGGATAAATCATTATTCTTATTTTGTGGGTATCAGGGATACAAACTACTATTTCACTAATACAGGCTACATAATCAATTAATACTGGATGATTTATTAGCCCTTTTAAGCACCTTGAACTATATTATAACTATGACCTTTACAGCTATAGGAGCTATGTAGGTTGCTATAGGCTATAAGAGCACTTATAGTATCTTGTCTATAATAATATACTTGACTCCAAACACTTTTGGCCTCTTTCTATTATTAAACAAGTTTATTAGATTAATCCAGAGTTTGAGGGAATTATAGATACTTCTCCCCTTCGTTAAAATTTTGCCTACTACTGTGTTATAAGAGCTATAAGAGCTATGATTGCACTGATAGTACTATAGTTTCTATGAATGCGTTTATATATATAGGTGGTGGCTATATAGTGCTATATAGCAAAGGGTTTTTCCTGATGTTGTTACTCTGGCGCACAACTCAGACAAGCTATAGAGAGGATGATGAGGGAGTGGTTACCCTTTAGGCTTCAACAAGTTAGTTGTGAGGATACAACAGAAGGACTCGCTGAGGAGTCTCCTGGATCTATTGAGGTATATATACTACTACAGGTTGTTTGTACATGTTGTACTATACAGTTGATAAAGCAGTGGCTGATAATGTCAGAGGGTGCAGCCCATGTGACCAGCTCCACTGCGTGAGAGACTTGTAGCTAAAATAAGAATAAAGGCAGCGTAGCATGAGAAAGTGGAGTTTGAACAAATGGAAAGTGCCGCATGGCACAGTGTGTGAAAAATACAGGATAAAGTTAAAGAGGAGAATGAAAATTAAAGGTCTAAAAATTGTGTATCGTAACAACTCCTCAGCGAGTCCTCCTGTTGTTTACCCACAACAAACTCAGTCCTATCATAAGGGAGATTATCCTCTCCTCCACTCACTACTCTTTGCTTGTTCATGTTGTGCACCAGAGTATACAAACTTTGGTTGTTACACCCACATTGATTGCCCCCCAGCCATCAGAATATGCAAGCTCCTACTCGATAAATGGTATAAACAGCCTGGGAGGGAATACTACGAAAACAATGTTTGCTCTGACAATGTCTGCAAGACTCAGGGGAACAAAGGTGTACCGGTCCCTCCAAATATGTTGTATTTAGTCCAAGGGTACTATGTTATTTTGCAGGTGCACTTTTGATTAAGTTGCAGTATGCTTGCTTGGTCATCAATTCACCTAGGTAATAGCCAGGTATTACTTTACCCCACCGGAGACAGGTGTAAACCTCCAGTACCTGGATATATAAAATATATTTTCAGTCTCTGCCAAAGCAGCCATTATTCTCCATGGAGTATAGCCACCACTCCATGGAGTAACCATTGTTCTCCTAGGAGTCATTATACTGTAGCGAGTAGCACCTCCGACTATAAGTAGTAGGGGGTTTAGTATAGGAATACCTCAGTCGTTTCTATAGCCTCTCGGGCAGCGGCTGAGGTATGTTACATTACATTTATTAGAGATCACCTTAAACTAACATCTATTGTAGTTTCACTTAGATAAATAATAAAGTCGTTTCTATAGCCTCTCGGGCAGCGGCTGAGTTTCACTCAGTTTTATTATCCTACACTCGAAGCAATTGACCTTGATTGGGTCATGTGTCAGTATGCATGTTGGAAAATGACCCCCGATACAGTTGTGATTATGTCCCTTTCTCGTGTAAATATCTCTCTTTCATTTCATTTCCTACTATTCATCTGACACATTTGTTATAGGATTAATGGCTTGCCCAACAAGTGGGCGACCATCGGACAATGTATTTCACAGCTGACTAAAGACCTATTTTTCTTGAAACCACTCAAAATTAGCTGTTTTTGTTACCTGAAATAAGTAATTTGTATTGTGTCATGCTATGTATCCGAAATGTTCAATAAAATTATTATTATTCGCAATTACTTTTGTATCCCTCGACATTTCTAGTTCAACCCATGGCTGAAACTCGTAAGGAAATAAGTATTATATTTATTATATATCCATAGCAAATTTGTAATGTAAGGTAGTTCAAATGTTGATCCAAATATCATTTTTTCCAACGCATTTTGACAAACATTTCGGAGTAATTAAATTCTCCTCACTGTGAAGTGTGAGCGTCAAAGCTGGCACAACTTAGCCGCGCCCTGGTCTTTGCCGAGGCCCCTCTTAGGCTAAGTTAGTGAGTTACTCACCATCAGAGAAAAACTCAGACACTCAGACTGAACACAGGTCCATCGGCAAAAATATCCACCAGATATATCTTATATGAGTCTATTCTTTGACCATATCCATGTGGCAGAGTCGACATTCTCTACCGCAAACGACCGCCGCACACGAGATGGGTTCGACACCGTTCTTTTGAACACAGCTATGTGGAATTCCTTGTCTACTCTTGGAGAGGAGCGCATCGTTATATCGATATCAGCTCCACAGATAGATATGCTTCAACGTGTGGGACTGCGATCAGTGGTGTGTTGGGCAAGACACGACGAGACTGTCCGTTCATTCATCGGTTGTATGACCGCAGAGCCACTCACAAATTTTCTCTATCCAGGTGTTTGACGTCGTCATCCCCTCTCATTGGATAAATACATTTGGCGCTATATTTTCTCCAGCTTTCTCGTCTCTGGCGTACAGTCCACGCTCATTACATATATATACTGCACAACCAGTACTTGTCGCAGAAGTTGTTGTGACAGCTCTCACGATTGAGGCATATAAGCTCGCGCACAATCAAGGACACGTTCTTGATGATTGGTTTTGTCAGGACGATCTCATCATTCGCGAGGGCCAAACCTTTACCTTCACTTCTAACTTGGATAGAGAGTGTGGAACAGGTCATGACCAGGCGAAGTTCTATCCTTATCGCGTAGACATGGTAGAGCCGTGCCAGCAAGGGTTCGCTAGAAAGCATCATACGCGGTATATCGTGACTTTCACGAATATCCCTGGAGAAGGGTCAGCTCAAGGCCGAGCCATAGAAATCCAGCATGGCGATGATGAAGGCTGTGACAAAGAGATGGTTGAAATTGGCGAGAGTTTTCTCTCAAATACAGTGAACGCTGCAACGACCACTTCATTATTTATTTCCTCAGAAGGTACGAGCTAATTTTATATTTCTGTTGACTGTGTGCGCTCATCAATGTTTCCTCTAAGATATCCCATTGGCCGATATGACCTATTGTATGAAACCTTTGAGACAGCCTATTTTCTTGGCAGACGATGAGCATTCCATATATCTGCGAACCCTTGATCTGGGGAAACTTGGCATACTCAGTGGTGATTGGGTACGTTTCTGTCAAGAACCTTCCTGTCAATGCGACTCATCGACTGATTAATAGGTAATCATTCATCCCTTGGATTGTTCTAGATCTAGATTGGTTCGTGTTTCCGCTCTGGACGACTTAGTAACCTCTCCGTAAGGAAGTGTTCCTGTTGCATAAAATAGTAACTCATATTTCAATAGTGATTTTGTCTTCGCGTCCCCATTGCTACTCCACAATATGTGCCTGGATGCTTCTAGCCAGGTCGCAGTTCGCGCTGTCCCCCATAGTCACTCACCACTCAATGCCCCATTTGCCGAAAGCATCACCATAGAACGGGTTTCATCCTTCTTCTCGACAGGAAACCACTATCAGCCTCTCTATCTCCGCGCCCTTAAGACATACTTCCAAAGCACGAGACATTTGGTGAAGCAAGGTGATTTAATAGCAGTGGCTATCGACACGGACGACACTTGCTACTCGTCTAATCTTGGTGAAGACGAAATGTCAGATCCGGCGTAAGTAATTTTGGAACTACCCTGTTTTGACCTCATGATTGCCAGACAGGCTCTATTCATTTTTTGCGCCTCGCGGCAATGAGCTAGTATTCTTCGTGATCACCCATATCAATTACGCCAAGTTCACTAGTGGGTCGGCTGACCCACTCTATACATATCCGGAAATCGCGAGCGGAGCACTTGGATGCTGGGTAGATGCTAATGAGACTCGGATCATTCAGGCTGGCCTGGCACACAGTCAAGTACCTGACATTACCCCTTACTTCAAATGTGGTGAGGGGATCTTTACAGTACATATATGATACCATTCACTCACAAATGAAAGACCTAGGCTGGCCGAAATCTGGTCCATTCTTACCTGGGGCGGCAAGAGCTTCTTCTAACGTTTTAAAATTATCAAATGCGTCTACAATCAGAGAAGCCATTGACTACGGGCTTAGTCTCTCTTTTCTGCTCAAAGGTAACAGAGGTGTAGGGAAGTTCACTGTTGCAGCTTGGCTTGCTCAAAAAATTGGATTACAACTTTATGAGGTCGATTCTAATAAAGCGGGCTCTGGTTGGTGCTAACAAATCATTTTTAGATCAATTGCTTCGACACTGTTGGCGAGACGGATGTTCTCACAGCAGGCACTTTGAGTGCACGGATGGAGAGGGTAGCTTCCTGCGCTCCTTGCATTTTGGTTTTACGCCACGTAGACGCTTTAACTAAGGCAACTCAATCTGGAGAGCCTGCAAAAGGTAGGCATACACATCATGCTCGATGATAACTATATATCTAAATTTCTGTAGAAATTATTGTGGAATCTACTTTGCACGAACATCTCGTCAGTCTTCAGCAAAGCTGGAAATCATCAGGGCAATCTGTCATTGTATTCGCAACTACCAGCGAACCCACGCGGCTTGCTCCTGGTATCCTGTCTTGTTTTAAACACGAGATAGTTTTCGAGGTACATTAACAGCCTTTAGTCGCTTCTTGCACTGAGCAGAGCCAGAATACAGGCTCCACCCGAACCGGATAGATATGAAGCTTTAAAATTCCAGACTGATGGCATGCCGTTGGGCCCCGACGTTGATATATCAGGGCTAGCGGTACAAACAGCTGCTTTCGTTGCCTCTGACCTGTACGCGCTTGTCAGATACACAGAAGTTGTGTCGGAAAGGCGATTAGGTCACGCAAGGTAAATCACCCTTTTAGTCAAGTGGCAGCACTGACCTTAAATGTAGGGTGTACCATTCGCTCGGTGAGGCTCCGATTACCACCACTGCCGACCTGGATGCATCACTTCAAACGGCACGAAAGTTGTACTCAGAAAATATTGGCACACCCAAGATACCAGATGTGTCGTGGGACGACGTTGGTGGCCTGATATCTATAAAAAATGATATTTTGGATACTATCCAACTACCTCTTCATCATCCGGAATTATTTTCAGATGGTTTGAAGAAGCGCTCAGGCAACTATGTTCAGCTTGCCATGTTGCGTGTTTTGATTTCAGTTGATTTAGGTATTTTGTTGTATGGTCCCCCTGGAACTGGGAAAACGTTGTTAGCGAAGGCGGTGGCTACGTCATGCTCCTTGAATTTCTTCTCCGTCAAAGGTCCTGAACTGCTAAACATGTACATCGGGGAATCAGAAGCGAACGTCCGTCGTGTTTTTCAAAAAGCTAGGGACGCCAAGCCATGCGTGATATTTTTTGACGAACTCGATTCAGTAGCCCCAAAAAGAGGGAATTTTGGCGATTCGGGTGGTGTTATGGACCGTATCGTAAGTCAAATTTTAGCCGAGTTGGACGGGATGTCTCAAGGACCCGCTGGGTCTGATATCTTTGTAATTGGAGCAACTAATCGCCCGGATCTACTCGATCCTGCTCTGCTTCGGCCTGGCAGGTGAGTTGCACCCGATAACACTAATCAAACGTTTACGCAAGAACCTATCTTCTAGATTTGATCGTTTGTTATATCTCGGTCTTAGCGAATCACATGATACGCAGTTGGATATCATCCAGGCTCTCACCCGAAAATTCCGCCTTGATCCTTCCTTGGATTTGCAATCAGTGGCCGACCGATGTCCTTTCAATTACACAGGCGCTGACTTCTACGCGCTTTGTTCGGATGCGATGCTGAATGCTATGTCAAGAAAAGTAGAATATCTTGATGCTAAAATAGGTGTGGGTTCCTAATGTTTGATCTATCATATTTGACTGATGATTATTGTAGGTCAATCAAGGCAGACATTAGATGCTCAGCCATTTCTACTACAAAATTACTTGATGGAGTATGCCACGTCTTCTGACACGGATGTCATTGTTACGGAGCAAGATTTTGATTTGGCATTGCAAGAACTCGTTCCGAGCATTAGCCAGTCCGAAATGGATCATTATACTGCTATTAGGGATCGCTTTTCCGACCAACTAATTCAGGATAATTGATGTCTTGTAGAAAGCAGCTTTAGCTAGCTAGCCTACATGGCTTTAAGTTTTGATGTATTTAGCTATTGTTTATGTTATAACCATTGCCCAGAAAAAAGGAGCAAACAGATGGGCCTGACCATCTTAGGCAGGACCCTGAACACTGACGTAAGGGCATTGAAAGGGGGTTCCTTGTTTATACAAATGGGGCTTCAAAGGCCCCCCTTGCGCGATGTTCTAGGCATATATATATATATATATGGAATTTTCAAAAGCAACACTGACCCGAAATGCTCTGTAAGACATTCATGAAGCTCTGATAGATCATTCCGCCACCATCTGTGCTCCCTCTGCGATGCAATGACCTAGGGAGTTGAGGGAATGATCTTTTCAATGGTGACCATGTGGTGGGATATTTCCCACCACATTATGCCATTGGTGTGCACATAACTTTTACTTTTATAGTTATCCTTAAAGCAGAATTCCTGTCTACTCAGCAGCTTTTGACCCGCATGTCCACCCGTCTACAACGTCAATTTCACCCCTTGCTAGGTAAACATTTTACTAGCCCTCAAAAATCCCGCCCCAATGCTCGAGATAAGCAAAGAACAGCCCCACTTGGACATGATGACCGTCTCAGGTGGCTCCTTGCACAGTACAATGAGCGTATGGAACTGAGATCAGCTACCAGTTGCCATCACGTCGAGCCTGATTCCCCAGAGGAGTCTACCAGTCAGCCTGTAGACCATGACATCAACTTATCACATGAGGCTGAAATTGATGACAAGTCTTGCAGGGCGCAGACGACAAAGCATATTCTACCAAACACTGAGAGTGAGTGGTTGTACGCTGTCATGCACCAAAGTTGATTGGTAGCATGGACAGGTGTCAATAATGAAGTGAATATTCAAAAAGACTCGCCTTTACGCCACACAGGCACAGTGCCACATGGAATAGTAATTAATATTGCCTGTTTCGAACTTGTGGCTGATTAGCACCACCTCTATTAGGCAATCCAGTCACGCTCACCTTTGCTTTTCCATTCGATACTTTCCGCATTTCGGCATTTCGGAAAATTTTCGCATCGCCACTGGCTACACATTGCATTGTGCCCTCGCTTTTGTCGTTTCCCTTACTCCCCTTCCTTTGCCTAGCCCCACCATGGGCCCCTTCCTCTCCTTTTTATTCTCACCTGACGGCCGTTTCTGGATCCCCATTCTAATCCACTTTTTCATCACCTCCACCCTCCTCCTCCTCATCTTATTTGAACCCCCACCATTTCTGATATCACCACTTCCTATCCGCCCCCGTCGCCGATCCGTAGACTACCACGTGCCACTGCTGATATCAGCAAAGCCCCGGCGGCCGGTCCAAATAGGGCAACAGGTCCATCTTCATGACGTTGATCTGCCATCATGTACTATCAAAACATCGGTCGCTCGTCTTGCCTGGTTGGAGCGTGGGTGGGTAGTTTTTGAGCTGGAGAAGGTTCATCCCCTTGCGTCGCCCATGTTCATCGCTGTCCCATTCACTTGGGTACACTTATCATTTGTCCATTATCTTCGCTACAGCTACACCTACCACACGCTGCCTGGGACTCACTTGTTCCAAATTGGAACTACTCCTCTCCCTCCCTCGTTTGATCAGGTGGTCCAACACAACCAGTCCATTGGTAAGGCCATGGAACTGTCAGATTTGGACTAGGTGGTGGACCGGTGGCTCCAGTTTCTTTTTCTTCAGAGAACATTCATTTACAGTGCGATTATTTTTGATTTTTGAATCATTTTTATGGACACATATTTTTTTAGAATGCCTGACTGACAATAAAGGAACTGTGTTGATACTGATAGCGTTTTGCCTTGCCCTTTTTTACTGCATCTTCCCATGACATCATGATCTTCCTGCTCTCTTTTTGCTATTGGACTTTACTTTATGGCTGTACAAACCTGTGACATTACTCACAGCATTTATTGTTCTATCCCTTTCTTTTCTTTTTTTGACAATCTTATCCTGTACTACCTACGCAGGATTCGTCAGCGTACATTCCTTCCTTCATATTCTTTCTCATTCTTTTTGCACAGCTATACTGTGCATAGCCTACTTCTCTTTTACTATATAAACCCCTGTATTTTACCTTGTAAAAACAACAACAAGAAATCCAATCCAGACTTCTTCTCTACTCTCAAGTTCACTACTCTGCTACTTGTGATCCAGTGTGGTCACAACACTTCCCACTTTTACCACTGTTAACTGCTGTCATCGTCACTTCCCACTTTTGAAGTCATTGTCATCCCTTTCGATTAGAGTCCTTCTGAGCACTACAGTTTGTGCGTCAGGAGCCTGCTATCACTGGGAACCTCATCATATTGTCGTTCTCAAACCTACCTTGTGCTACGACTAGCAAGGTAGTGCTCGTCTATACTCGTCACAAAGCCCCTATCCTTCTATAAATTCAACTATCCCTCCTCCTCAAAACCCACACTCATACACCTCTGGGTTTTACTTTGAAGGATCTTTATACGTACCACCCCACGAACAACCAGACCACTCCACTGTTCTAGGAGGCAAAGCCCATAAACAAGTTCCGTGGAATCTGGGAGGATTGTGTGTTAGTTTGTTTTGTGTGTGGTTTTCTAACAACAGTTCTCATCATCGACAATTGGAGCCCACCGCGAGGGGTGGTTTCCTTCAAGCTAAATACCAACCATTTCATCGCCATCACTGTCTAATTTATCATCTACACCTTCTATCTCACCCACCGCTTTATCTGTCCCATCCCTCTCTTCCAGTAACTCAATTTCTGTACCAGCTTCTACTCAGCAAGCTTCGCGTTTACCCCCTATATTTTTCACCATGAATCAACCTACTACTCTCTCAGTCATCACTATGCCAATTCCTGGCACTCGTTATGCTCCTAAGAAGTTCAAGGGAGACTATACTCGTGTCAGGGATTTTGTTCTCCACTATGAGCGTATCTGTCATGCAAACAATGTCACTGCTGACGATGAAAAATGCTCAAGCATTCTCCAATACTGCTCCACATATGTTCGCGAAATTATTGAAGGAATGAAGCACTTCATTACGCCCTCATGGAACAGTCTCAAAGACGAAATTCTCCAGTACTTTGATGCTGCAAAAGCAGAGGCCAAATTTAAAGAGCATCATCTTAAACAGCTGGTCGATGCTTCGCACAAGAAGAAAATGGGCTCTCTGGACGATTTCAAGAGCTACATGAGGAAGTATGTTCGTGTTGGAGGATGGCTTCTTGCCAAATCCAAAATCGCTCAGGACGTATTCAATCGCTTCTTCTGGAAAGGACTACCCAAAACCCTTCGTCATCGCGTTGAAAATAGACTTCTACAGAGAGATCCTACCCTTGATCTCTCCCAGCCTTTTGTCTTTGATGATGTTGTCAAGGCTGTAGAGCATGTCCTTCGCAGAGATCGCTTTGATGATGAAGATTTTGACTCTGATGATTCGGATTCAGACTCGGATTCAGAAAACTCTTCCAGTTCTTCGGATGATTCTTCTGACTCTGATAAAGAGGAAGAACCACCTCGTTATATCAGGAAAACCACCAAGCAGAAGAAAGAAAAAAAGCGCACCTCTGAGACAGAGAAAGAGAGAAAGTTGTTGAGTCCTTCCAAGTCGAAGAAAACCCTTCACTCTTTAGACGAAGAAGAGCACACTGCTGTCAAACAGGATGAAGTAGAAACCCTTATCAAGAAGTTGGGTTCTATGACAATTGAAGATCCTAACTATCCTCTGCTCTACTATCGTGCTATCAAGCTTGACACTGATGCTCGACTTATACTTTGCCCTCCCACTTTCATGAACCAGTCAGCCAGACCATCTCGATCCTCTCAAGGAAGCAGCAACTTACCCACTCAGCCTACTGCTCCACCCACTGCCACTCTGCCTACAGCACCTCGTGTTCCCTTCCTTTGCTATGGATGCGGAAAAACTGGTCATGGAGTCAATGAATGTGCAGATATGCTTGACTTACTGTCAAAGGGAATTGTCAAGAAGGATGACACTGGTCGCTTTGTCATGTCTGATGGGTCTAGAATCATGCGATCAAGAGAGGAACCTATAGCAACTGCTGTACATCGCACTATCCCGAAGTCTAACCTCCTCACTACGACTTTTTTTATGTCCATTGCTGAAGTAGCTGACTCTGATTCAGATTCAGATGAAGAGCCTGTCTATGCAGTGGATCGTCCAGACAGAGTGTCTAAGGAGAAGCGCAAGCAAGTCTTTGATGGTGTCTACATTCCTCCTAAACCAGATTGGGCCAAAGCTGTAAAAGGAAAGAAGAAAGAAGAAGAGAAGCCTGCCGTTCCAACCATAGCACCTGCCCCATCAAAGCCACACATCTTTGATATTGCACAGCCTATCTTTGATCCCACTAATGACGATGTAATCATGGAAGATGCTTCCCAAAACACCAAGAAGAATCCCCCTGCCGATAAACAGAAGAAACAGCTCAAGACTTCATCTACTCTTTCACAGAATCTTGACTCCAAAGCCATCATTGATCAAATTCTCAGCACCCCTATCCCACTATCTATTGGTAATATCATTGGTCTATCAAAAGAAGTTTCCCGGAATCTCCAAGAAATGATGAAACCCAAGCGCGTTAATTTTGGACTAGACAACAAGCCCCAAAGCTTGACAGCTGAATCACTTCTTGCCATCACTCATGCCGACCTCATTCGTGTCCCTGTTACCTCTAATGGCGAAACTATTTCAGCAATTGTTGATTCAGGGTCTGCTCTCAATATAGTCAGTCGCACTATTTGGGAAAATCTCATTCGCCTTCCCATGGATACTAGTATTCGACCTGTAGTCAAAGATGCCAATGGAGGATTTGGTAGACTTGATGGTCTAGTCAACAATGTGGCTTTATACTGCGGAGAAGTCAAAACCTATGCCAATATCTTTGTTGGGAAAGACACTGGATATGATCTACTTCTTGGACGACCATGGACGCATGGGAACTATGTCAGCATTGAAGAGAG